GAATGAGAAAATAGATTCATTCATAGGAAAATGGATACATATTGAAGATATACTCCTAAGTGAAATAAATAAGGCACACGTGTGTAAATACCAAATAGTTTCTCTGGTGTGAATAATCTGCAATAATACATAAGATCCTAATAAGATTACTGACATTTAGAAATGGGAAGAAAGGAGCTAAAGGTGTAGGGAAGGTGGGATGGGTAGGGGTAGGGTAATAAGGGAAAAGAAAAAAATGTGAGAGAATGAAAAGATGAAAATAAAGTGTTTATAGATGGGGAGGGGAGGAGGGGGTGAAGGGAGGGCAGGGACAAGGGGAAAAAATGAGAACCAAGACTTGTCATGTAGAGTTACAAGATCCCAACAATGAATGTAACTGTACTGTATCCCTAAAATGTACCAATAAACTCAACTAAAGCTGAAAAAAATGAAAAGAAAAGAGAACCTTTGTGCACATGTGTATGCATGCAAATACTTGTGCTCACGTTTCTGACAATATCCCTCAACCACATACAATACACATATGCTTGACGGCAAAGGAGAATGGATCAGTTATAGAACTGAGAAAAGCTTTTTGGAACTTCAGTCAAGCCTGCCTCCTTCTTTCTTTCAGGGCTTTGAAATGTGCAATCAGCAGAGACCCATTTGTATTTGGCCAAGTGATCACCAGGAGGGAGACGTGTGGTCTTCTCTGGAAAGGCTTCTCTGATCATTCGCAAGTGCTCCAGAAATTAGCCTGCCATATTGGCAGAACTTCCTGGCTACTCTGGAGAGATAGTGGGACTGGAGTCAGTGCAATCTTTGCCCATTTCCTAGATCCTGGATCCCTGGATGGGGAGAGGGGGGTCAGCTTCTTAATGTTCTAGGGCATTCAGTCATGTACTTGGTAGGAGGAGCCCCGACTCGGATCCAGGTGTCTTTTACAATCAGGCTATAAAACTGCATTTGACCTCATAGGGGGTAAGCACTAAATATGCAGTCGTTTCCTACAGGATTGCTATTGTGACTGTATGCAAGGTCCCTTCTGTAGCTGGCAGCACTCAAGCCAAGGCAGGAAAGAAAGCAAAGAGCCATCACTCCAAAGAATCTTCCCAAAGCAAGAAATGTGTGTCAAGGGTTCTGGGATGGAATTCAGGGGAGGATGACTTGGTCAATGAGGCCATTGGCTTAGTGTGCTGTGACCAGAATACTGCACAGTTCTTGAGGGTTTTAGCAGCAGAACTAATCCTGCAGACATTGTTAGGCACCTTCTGCGTGTCAGGAAATACACTGAGTTACAGGAGGTAAAGATGCATTAGACGTGGTCCCTTTCCCAAGATTTGGGTAATCTAAACACCAAGATTCTGCAGGAGTGTGTGACAAAACACTTATGTCTAGTTGGCAGAATTGCAACTATTATTATTATTACTACTATTGTTATTAAGGTTTTGTGGTTTTTTAGAAAAGGATAGTATAGCTGAGTAGTTTGCAAACCCTGATGTCTGTAAAGGGAGTGGATGGTCAATAAAGTAGGTGGTCATTTAACCCTCACACAGTTCTCCTTTCTAGGGGTGGGAATAGATTTCCTGTAATTGCTCATTTGGTAATCTACAGGCAAGTTGATCCTGCTCTGTGGTGAAGATGATAAAAGGCCTTCTTGGCCCCTCTTTGCTAACCCACCCCACTTCTCAGGCTTCGGTCTCTCTTTACTCTCTGTTGTCCACTGAGGGCATTTCAACCATCCCCTGGCTAGATATTATTTTTTCCATACCAGTCTCCTCTCAGTGTGCAGGTTCAATTTCCTTCCTGCAGTCTTCCCATACTTTCCCCAAATAGACTCTTCTTAAATGTATCCTTCAAGCTATTCTCTATCTGCCAGCTAGAATGGTGCTTAAAGTGTTTTGGAGTGGTTTAACTAGAGACAAAAATCCAAAATTTGTTCTTCTTTTTTTTAAAGAACTGGAGATTGAACCCGGGGATCACTCATACTAGGCAAACTCTACCACATAGCTACATCACCAGACCTTTCTCAAAAACTTATTTTGAAGCAGAGTTTTGCTAAAATGCCCAGGCTAGCCTCAAACTCGAGATCCTCCTGCCTCAGCCTCCTGAATAGCTAGGATTACGGGCCTGGCTATTAAAATTATTAACATGCCTGTGTGACTGTGCGTGGTTGACTCTGACTTTTTTCTCTGGCTTCATCTCCTGTCACTCTTTCCTTCAGAGGGGGCTGGCTCCTTCCCAACTCAGAACCTCAAAGGCAACATTCCCTTTATTTGGAATGATCCCACTTTCAGTCAGAGCAGCAGGACTCCTCTTAGATGTTGTTGCTGGTGGGGGAGGGTTCTCCATAGCCCCCAGAGTTCTGTGAACATTTGCTATAGCTTGAACATTCCTAATCTGAAAATCTGAAAGCAGAAATGCTTCAAGAGTCTGACACCTTTTCAGTGCTAACATAATAAAAGAAGTGGAAAATTCCACACCTGACCTCACGTAACGAGCACTCAAAACTTTGGCACATTAAAAATATCATGTAAAATTATTTCAAGCTGTGAGTACAAGGTGTATACGAAGCATAAATGTATCCTGTGTTTAGAGGTGGGCTCCTTCCCCAGGAAATCTCAGGAATATGCAAATATGGCAAAAGCTGAAAAATCAGAAACCCAAACATTTGTGACTCCAAGCATTTCAGATAAGGATATTCAACCTGTGTTATACATTTACATCCTCACAGAGAGATACAAAAATCACTATCTGTAAGATTATTTACTGTCCCCCTCAGACTATAAAGATTATAGATTATATCTCTACTGCCTAGCACAGGGCCAGATTAAATGAGTCAAATGAGTAGTAGGAACTAAATTCTCTTCCTATCAAGATATGAATGGTCATTTTTACCGATAGACTCTAACTCCACAGTGCTTTTTTTGTCAAGTGGAGCCGGACCAGGTGTGTGAGACCAGTGAACTGCCTTTGCTCTCTTCTAGGTCTTGTGACACTGCCATCTGCCTCCAGTGGGGGCACAGTGAGACATCTTCCCTGTGGGAGACTTGTTGCTTTCCTGCTTCCTGTCAGGGTGCCAGGTGAGGTGAGAGATTACCTGTGGGGAGTCCCAGGGACATTTTCATGTCTTCAAAACTATTATTTGGTTTTAACATTTTTCTTTTTCCTTCTGTCTGCCCAAAAGCCTCCATCAGGTATGGCCAATCTCACAGCCTGGTCCTAGCTGTGTGGTGAGAAGCTGGGAGAGGAGTCATCCGTGCCTCCACCAGAGGCGAGGCTGCTGGGGGAGGAATGATCAGAGGCAGCCTGGAGCAGAGGGATGTCAGGAACGAAACGGCTGGCTGAGGGGACAAGTGTCCGTGGGAAGAGATTTGTGGAGATTCTGGTATTCACCCTGAATGTGAACAGAGATTTTGGAAGAGAAAGCTGGACAACACCTGGATCTTCTGAGGTGACCCAGTGTACCGGCTGTGAACACATCTCTCAGCCCCAGTGTCACCCTGTACCTTTTTTGTAAAAGTGGAGCTGGGCCCTTGAGATTGTTGCCCTTGTCCGCAGGTCTGGTACTTTGTTAATTAGCAGGCAGAGGTCTAGAGATACCCAGGGGGACCAGGCTTCTACAGGTGGGCAGATTGCCCAGGAGCACTCACCCTGCAATACCACCCTTGAGGGCTTTGGTAGTGAAGTGCTTCCAGGTGGCATCTTCTTGCGAACAGCTTCCTCAATGCCCTAAAACAGTAGATGTCCAGCAAGTTCTAAAGTGGGAATTTCCAGCAGGTTCCAATGGTATGAACCCTAAAGATACCTCCATTATTTAGATAGCTGTGCCCACCCTCAGGGGATCTGGATCTCGGCCCCATGGGGAGAGGGAAGGGAAAGGTCACTCTGGTGTACTTTGTTTCAGCCCTAGGAATGTGGCTGCTTAAATCTTGTGTCTACTATGCCTATTTTCTTTCATTTTCTCTTCCCTCCTACTAGTCTATCCCTCCTTACTCCAAATCCTATTACAGTTGACAATTTTATTAAACTTCCCTGTTTAAATTGTTGTGTGGGTGTCTCTTGATTGGACACAGACTACAACACATGGGATGGAGGCTTCAGATTTGGCTATCAAGGTATGGTGCTTCTGCAAGACTGGGGGAGTTGGGGTCACCCTGGCCATAGATATCTTTTTAAGTTTGTGCAACTAATATATTACCGTCAGGATCAGAAAAAACAAACATTTTAAAACTGGAAAAATGTAATATAATATACAAGAAAAGTAAATACAAAACATTCCTTTAGCATGGAAGGGCATGGAAGTAGCATGCTACTCAAAAAGTGTCTTAGAGGAGTTGATGCTGGGAGAGATTAGGGGAAGGTAAGTGGAGGTGCTCTTCCTTGGGGAGCCATGAGTTTAGGCTTCCTGGACTGGACCAGGAGCTGAGCCTAGGCAGTGGGAGGGTCTGCACTCCTGGATCAGCCTGCACAGAAGCTCAGGTGTTGGTGGGTGGAGGACAGTCTGATCCCAGAAAACCCTTGGGGGTTTACAACTCCTTGTGAGGCAGCTGTGGGCAGGCCTGAAGGATCCTCACAAATCTGTAGGATTCTCCAGCTCTTTTGCAGCCTAACCGACTTAGGGCCCTAGCTGCTGTGCTCTGAAATCCAGCACTTGGGTTGTGCCCTATGCCACACTTCCCATCTGGCTGCTCCCAGGAGAATCCAAGGAGAAAAGGGACCCTAGGAGAGGAAACTTCGGTTGTAGAACGCACGGATGATCTTGACTACAGCAGGTTGGGAGGGTTGCTTTCCTCTCTCTCATTTGGGGTCAAGCTTGCTCGGTGACTGGCGCCCTTCCCAGCTCCCTTTCCATGTGGTTCCAAACCCTTCCCACAAGAGGATCCTCCACAGTTACTCCTGGCGCGAGACCTGCCTCTGGGAGGACCCGGTAACCCATCATCTAGGCTTCCCTTCCCTCCGCGTCTTCTCCAGCGCAGTCTTTGGTGCAGGGCGGGCCAGTAGTTCTGGAACTCGGGCTGCAGGCAGCCTGCATTCCTGCTCCTCAGCGCCCTCGCCCTTTCCTCGACTGGGCCCACTCAGTCTTTCAGGTTTCCCGAGGACTCCCTGAAGCCTTTGAATCTGGAAAGTCAAATTCTACTGGACTCTCGGGCCCAACTGAACCGTCACTTCCACCTGAAGCCTCTCCTGGGTCCCGCGGAGACAGCGCTCGGCGGGACCCAGGAATCGTCGTCTTCACTGTAGACCCTTTGGAAAGGGACAGGATCGCTTTCGCCCTTCAGTCTGCGCTCCCGCGGAGGGCGGACTGGCTCGCCTTTTGCGGGGGATGGGAAGTGCCCCAGAGATCCGCCTGCGAGAGGCGGGTCCGGCCTGGGCGCGGGGGC